AGACATTTCTCTGTGATAAAGCCCCCCACCCGCCCCCTGAATTGTGCATTTTGGAAGCAAGTAGCCATGGATCGCTCACACTCACACAGTATCAGCTGGGGGCTGACACCAGAAAGTGGGATTTGCTGGTGAACGTCACGCAGAGCCATGAGAGCAAGCCATCCCGAGCCTTTACTGACGAGCTTTCTAACTCTGTTCCTGACTTCACGAGCTTATGGGAAGATGTAGCCACCTGCATCTGACTCGTTTGTTCCTCTTACGTGGATGGGGCAAGGCCACAAACCCATCTGGCATTTCCTGTGTGTTCCAAGAAACTTTATGTAGGAAGCTAAATGCTTGTTCATCTAGTTGGTTTTGGGCTAGATTTGCCAGCCATGTCCTTCTCAGAGCCAAACCAGGAAACTGCCGCCTAATGATGTCGAGTCAAGATCAAAAGTTTGCTTAATATCAAACACTACACTAGCTGAAAATTAACATGTAAACTTTCTTCAAAGTTGCCAATTTAATTTTGTGCATTTGTGTCACAATCTTTAGTTCATGAATTTGAGGGCTCTAGTTGTATAATTTACTTTGAAAAATAATATAAATTTTTGATTGTTGAATGCTGCAGTTAAAATTACTTTGGGATAACTTTTGATAATTCACATCTGTAGACAAAGTTAATACTGTTTTTTTTTTTTTTAAACAGCATCTGCCTAAATACACTTTAAAGAAATTAATATATTGAAAAAATATCTTTGACTTTTTGGTTAAGTGCACGATTAAAATATTAGATTGTTAATATTAAATTGTTTGGCCATGGCAGTGTGTGTGCTGTCCAACTCCTCACTGTGCAGGCCCGCTGTGTCAGAGCCCACCTGTCTGTGCAGTAACTCAAGGCAGAGGGCTGGATGCACTGTTGTGTAGCTTATACAACCACACCTGTTTGCACTTCAACAGTGCGTGAGGATTTACACTCGCTTGCATGCTTCAGAACCAACACCGTCACGCACTAGAGAGGCATCAGTCATTTGCCCTGGGTCATCCTTGAGGGTTCTCCCCCGGCCTCAGACCTTCACTTGCTGCATGGTGGCTGTGGACCAGTTCCTGTGCCGTGGACCAGGACACCCGACAGCCGCCACGCACGCGGTGATCCCCCAGGAGCCAAGGAGCAAAACTCAGGGTTGGAGCCGGAAATGAAGGAAAGGTCACCGGGTTGCAAATGTAATCGGTAGTACACACACGTATCCTCGCGTCTCTTTTGTGACGTCGGTCGTGTAGTTTGGAGCCCAGAGCAGTCCTGCGCCCTCGGCTGCCCTTCCTGATGCCCTGCGCTGAAGGAGAAGAGGGTGGCCGGCTGTGATTAAGCTGCCCCACCTCGGCAGCTTGTCGCTGTGAACGCTTCAGGCTGATCGGTTCTTCTGGATGTATTCTTATAAACGGGCTGTGACCACACATTGCCCGAGCTGATGGATGAGGTCCGAGCCAGGCTCACAGTGAGGGCAGGCTGCCCCCTGACCAGCTTGCAGAGGCACAGGTGTGTATGCGGGGTCACAGTGCTGGCAGCTTCCCACGCTCCACCCCGCCTCGCCCTGGAAGCCATCCCGCACTTGGAAGGGTCCCAGATGCGCTTTGCTGTTGCTCTGTCTCATGTAGCTTGGTGACAGCGGTCTACTCGTGTGGCATCTTACCGTACGACGGACCAGCTGACTAACGCTTGGGTTGTTCCACCCAAACACGTGAGTTTCAGGGATCTGCATTTGTTTGGGGGGATTCTGTCTTCTCTGAGCCTAGGAAACAGACAAAGCTGCTAGGGCTGGGTGGCCGACCCTGCCTGTGTGTGTGTGTTATTTAGCGGTCCTCTGAGTTTCCCTGTCGGGCCCCAGCAGACACATCTCCCATGGGATTCTTGGGACCAGCCTCTGACTCAGCCACCCCTCCAGCCGCTCCCTGGAGATCCTCAGCCCCTCCAGGAGGGCCTGTTGGGCAGCATCCCCCACGAGCAGTCACTGTTGGCAGTGGGGAAGATGGTCCCTCTCCCTGCCCTCCGCGCACGCTCCACGGGGTGCTGATGCCGCCCAAGCATCTTGTGGATTTCCCGGCAAATCAGAGCCGGCCTGCAGCCAGCGTGGGGTGCCTGTTGAGGAGCAGCTTTGCTGAGGAGGGAGCTGCCACTGGAAGAGCTGCCATGCCATTGCTCTAGCACCTTCCCACTCTCCCTCCTCTCAGCCCACTGGTCTGGCAGGGTTGTTTCTGGGCCTTCACATCTGTATTTCTCAGGCCCCTGATGGAGGAGGGCTAGGTGGGCAGGAAGCGCCTGCAGCTCCTGGCGTTGCTACTGTACAGCAACAACTGGACCCCAGGCCCTGTTCTGTTTAACTTTTTTATTTTTAAAGAGGTGTTGTTTTATTTGGAAAGCAGAGTTAGAGAGAGAGGAGACAGGGATCTTCTATATGCGGGCACACTCCCCCATGGTCACAAACAGCAGGAGCTGAGCCTGTCCAGACTAGGAGCTTGGAGCGTCTTCTGGGTCTCCCACATGGGTGCAGGGATCCAAGCATGTTGTCTTGCCAGGTGCCTTAGCAGGAGCTGGATTGGATGTGGGGCAGCAGGGATTCGAACTACCACCCATATAGGATGCTGGCACTTCAGGTGGAGACTTCACCTGCTATGCTACGGGGCTGGGCCCCCACTCTGGGCCCTGTACTGAGCACAGGGTGGACGTCCATCACCCTCCTCCCACCTTGAGGAAGATCTGGGCAACACGGCGAAGGTGTCAGTGGAGGCCTTGTGCTGGTTTGAGCAGAGGTGGGGGTGGCCACATGCTACACAGGGGACATCAACTTTGCTTCACCCTGGGGGAGCCCCGTCTGAGCCCAGACTGCCGTGTACATGACACCCCTACCTGACCTAGAGGCCTCAATGGAAGACAGTTGGCTGTGGCTGGAAATCTAAGGTCGGGTTGCCGGTAGGGTGGGTTTTGGGAAAATCCTCCTGGCTTGCAGGGGCCTCTGTGTCCCCTGGGGCCTCTTCTTGCAGCATTTGAACCTTGTTATTGCCTGCAGGCTCCCCCACCCACTCGCATTGGAGTTCATCAGCACAGGAATTTTGGGGGACACTTTCCTGCCATGGTGGACCCAGCAGTGTTGGGGAGCCAGCGGAATGGGGGATCTGCTCCATTGCTGGGCCTTGACAGTATCCCTCCCTGTCACCTGCCATGAGCTCCAGTACCACGTCAGAAACTGGCAGGCCAGAGAGATGGTCAGCTTAGGCAGAGTGTGAGGTGGTGGAGGTGGGGCACAGAGATGGGAAGGAGGTGTTTGGGAACTAGGGGTCGGGAGGAAGGGAGGGACCCCAATAGCTCAGGCCACAGGTGGGATGGAGGGAACTGGTTGGAGGGGCTCTGTTGCTGGGGAGGTGTGGACAACGGTCCTCCCTGCTCATGTAGCATTTGTGAGGATGGGGCAGTGGGCCGGCTTCCTTCCCTTGCCCTGCTGACCGCGGGTAAATGGCCCAGAAACCAGGACAGCTGTGTGAAAACCACTGGAAAAGGCTGGCGGGAGGTGAGCGAGGGGGCAGGAGGCTGCTATGGATGTGCGATGGGGCGAGATGGCAGACATTCCGTGTCCGTCATCTCCAGCACCTTGGGGTGCACAGCAGTGGCTCAGCAAATGCCGAGGAAGTAAGGGCAGAACTAAGCACCAGCAGAACGGGCCCCTTAGCAGCCGAGCGAGTGGTGCAGTGTGTGTGCACAGCCTGTGTGCTGTGCCTACAGTGACACCTGCTGCCGGCAGCACCGTCGCCCCGCTGGCTGCCCATCTCCACTCTCTCCCAGCCTCAGCCAGGTGGCAGGTGAGCAGGCTGCTCTGGTGGGGGAGTGGAGAGTGGGCACCAGGTCTTGGAGGAGGACGGCCACTTCAAGGACGCGTGAGGACTGGGGGCGCTCTGGGCTCTAGACCTGTGCTGGTTTGAGCAGGGTTTTAGACCGAGCGCCCCACGGGGTAGCAACCTTGTTCAGACATCCCTACCTTATGAAGAACGCCCCAAGAATCTGCTTAAAAGGCGGTTTTATTTGAAGTTCTTTGGCCACGGGGAACTTGCTTTGTCGGGAAGCCCGTAGGAGTAACTTGGAACATTCAAATGCAACATTGATCCTACAGTAAACTACGCTGGCGAAGCCCACGCGATCCGAGGCTCTTTGAATATATATAAAGTTGTCACTGGCAGCGATTTTTGTATTTGGGGGCAGATTCTTTTTCCGGACACCCCGCAGGCAGTCTTCCCCTTCCTCCGGCTGCCCGGGAGGGAACAGCGGGGAAGCGCTTCCTCTCCTCGGGTTTCTAGGACTTTCTCTTTCCGTTGCTACTGTGGTCCGCACCCACCCTCTCTCCCTCCCTCTCTCTACGTTTCCAGCCACTCCCGGGTCACCGGAGGACGCGGACAGGTGCACCGCGCCCTGTCCCCTGCTGTCCCGATGCTGGGTCCTCCGGCTCGCAGGCGCCCCGGCTCAGCAGATGCCCAGTCCCCCACACGTGCCTGTGGGCTTCGGCGGCTCGGGCACGGGCGCGTGTCCAGCGCGGCTCCAGGAAGTGACCCTGACCGGGTCCGGAGGGGCTCCCGGCGGCGCAGGCACGGATCCCTACCCGGGCTGCGTCCTCGCACCCTCCTGACCTGGACGTGGGCCCCGCGGCCGCCCACGCGGGCCCTCGGGAATTCCTCCGGGAACCCCCCGTTCCACGCCGCCCACGGACCCCCGGCCTGACGCGAGGGGCTCGGTGGCGGCCCCGGAAGAGGCTCTGGACCCTCGGGCACGCCGCACGCGGACGCCTGGGCAGCGAACACGTTTCTCGGAAAGGACAGCGTTTAGGAGAAGGTGGGTCGGCCCCGCCGCGCCGATTGGGCGGCGCCCACGCACTCCTCGCGCGCCATTCGCCCTCGTGTCCATCGCTCGGCGCGCCGGGCCCACCCCCTGCCTTAAAGCCGCGCGCCGGGCGCGGGGACCCGGGCCGTGGCTCCGGGAGCGCGGGAGGCGAGCGTGGGAACGCGGGCGGCAGGTAGGCGCGCTGCGCGGGCCGGGTCGAGACCCAAGGGGCCAGCGAGGTGTCCGGACCCCAGGCTGCACGCGATGGCTGCCCCTGTTTCTCCCCCGCACCCATATTTATTCCTTGGTTTCTGGGGTCCTGGTTGAGGACTATTGACCCATTTCCCAAAGGCGTGTTGGTGGGTTACCCAGGAAAGCTTCCTTTTTCGTTCAGTGCGGTTTGCATGGAAAACTTCAGAGCGGCTGTCTAACAATGAGGCGTGGTGGGGTTCCCCCTCCCCGCGCCTGTGTCTAAGATCCGAAACCTCGCTTGCAGCACGGGGGCTGGTGGGGGGCTGGGGGGCTTCCTAACTGAATGCCAAGGCTCCTTGCCGGGAGGTGGAGACTACTTCCCCAGTTCTCTTTCTGAGTCTGGCTTGCTGTCCCCTGCGTCCATCACAGCCCAGGCCAGGAAGTCAGTGTTGGTCCGCCCGGGCTCCCAGAGCGCCGAGGCTGGGCCCCGTGGGCAGCCGGCAGATGCTTCAAGAAACCCACACCGACACTAGCATTTCCACAACTGTGCATGTCCCCCGCCAGCGGTGAAGGCTGGACGTGGTTACAGGATGCTGGGAGCCGGTCCCCGTGCAGTGCAGCTCCCTTCCTGATGAGTTTTGGGAGTGATTCAGCCACTGAGGCCAGATGGGGGCCAGAGGCAGAGGAGAGAGGCGGCTTCAGTGCCTTTTGGTCTAGGAGTGAGAGGGGGCTGCAGTGGTGCCCGGTGCCCCCTGAGGTGGGGATGAGCTGTGCCCTGCAGGATGGGCTGTCCGGGAAGCCTGACCCCTGGCTGCAGGCAGGAGCGGGTAGGAGAAGGGAGTGATTATTTCAGAATGGAGGAAGAGGAAGTTATAAACATGTGACTGGCCTCACTGATTTTTCCTGGCCGGGCATTTGGGCAGAATTGCTTTGTTAGTAAATCATTCTGGATCGTGTTGGCGATGCCGGCGGGATCGTGGCTGTCAATGTGGCCTGGAGCCCTGGCGGGGACTGCAAGGTCAGGCACCCCTTGACTGGTATCGGTCTGAGGACTTGGTGGGGGCTATTCCCACCTCGTGGGCTCCTTCGCAGAGCCTCACCGCCTCCGCTCTGGAGAGAGGGGTTTGCATGAAGTCACAAGTCACCTTAACAGGTTGGGAGTTCTGAAGCCATGGAGTGTGCGGGGTTTCTGATGGGAAAGTGGGGACCCTCCTGCTCTGCCCCATGCGGCGGCTCGGGGCTGCAACACTGACTCCCGTTTGGGGCCCTAGTCGCAAGGGAGTGGACAGGAACGGCTCCTGCGGATGCTGACAGCCACTCCTTCCTCAGGCTGCGAGATTGCTCCACACTTCTCCAGGCAGGCCTGGGGGATATGTTCCCTGCTGTGTTATTTTCTGGGGGTGCCTAATGGGCTTTCAGGTTCCTTCCCCACATGTCCCTTATTTGCAAGCACGGGGGCTCCTTCTAGAGGTCAGAGCCCCTTGGGATAAACACCTTCTCTTTACAGGTGAGGAGCGTCCCGTCGGAGGCAGGCCCGGCGATTTGGTCGGCTTGCTGGTGCCCTCAGGGCCTCGGCGGGGGCAGTTAGAACTGGCACCCTGCCCCAGCAGCCCTGCCCTCAGCCACCTTTGGGGTGACATTCTCGTTTCTGGGGGTGCTGACCACTGTTTGGGAGCATTCTTGGGGACATGAACCTTGTCACCGACAGTTCTTTGAAGCTTATTTGCCTAAAGAAGTTACATTTTATTCAGAAAAGTAGGAAGACTGCTTTCTTATGACTTTTTTTTGTGTGTGGGTGGGCGTCTGTCCAGCTGCTAGGGGATTTCCAGTGCTGCGAGTGTTGGCTAATGGCTGATACCGCCTCATCTCCCCTTGAGAAAGCCAGCTGCTCATGGAGCTACATCCTCCCCAGGGGATCTGGGTCTGCTGCCCACCCTGGCTCGATCCTGGGGGACACTGCCTGTCAGAGGCCTCATCATCCCAGGTCACACACACGCGCCCGAGTTTCAGCTGGACAGGGCCCTGAGGCTCCAGGCACAGCCTGCAGAGAGCTGAGGGTCCCTCTCCCTAGATCAGCCACGGAGGAGCAGCCTCGAGGGGGCAGCATAGGTGCTGGACTCGTGCCCAGACACCGGTCCTGCTGGATGGCGTGTCATCAGCTTGGTTCCGAGAGGGGCGGGCTGCTGCAGGCTGCGTGGCAGAGACCTCCTGCAAACCGGGTGTTCTCCTTCTCAGTGTTGAGTTAGGGTTCGCACAGGTTTCCCCAAGTCAGGGCCTCTGTTGGAAACGTGTGGTTTTCTTGATGGAGCTTCTTGGGGTGCTGCGAGATGCTGCGCATGTTGTTGTGTCACGGAATATCTTTGCTGCCTCCCCAAGCATGTGTGACCGGAACGGCGGCCGGCGCCTGCGGCAGTGGCTGATTGAGCAGATCGACAGCAACATGTACCCGGGCCTGGTCTGGGAGAGCGACGAGAAGAGCATGTTCCGAATCCCGTGGAAGCACGCCGGCAAGCAGGACTACAACCAGGAAGTGGACGCTTCCATCTTCAAGGTACAGACCCCCACACGTGCCTGGACACGAGCGTGGGCTCCTGCTGTCCTCGTCGGGGTCCGTGCGGTGCACCGGGGAAGGCTGCCGTTGGATGCCCAAAGCCGTCAGCTGCATGTGGCATCCTCAGCTGAGCCGCCGTCTGCCGTTCCCTCTGGCACTGGTCGTGAGGGGTCCCCGAGAGCAGCAGACACTCCACACACGTGGAGACGTGTCAGGTCTGGGCCACCTGATGCTGTCCTCCTCGGTCACGGTTGTCTGTGTGGGATGCTGTGCTCATCCTCACCATGTCAGGGCCTTGAGAGGGACAGTGACCCGTCCCGCTCATGTACAGATGCCAGCATGCCAGCCAGGAGCCCGCTGTGCTCTGCCCTGGCACTGCTGGGGACACGATGCTTCAATTCAGGCAGGGGCCTTGGAAATCCCGTTTCTCCCCATTGAGAAAGCCGAGTGCTCCTGCAGCAGTGGGTTTTTCGTCCCCTCACGGGCATCTCACAGGCCCAGGACCTCTAGGTTCTGGATCTGAGAGCTTCATGTCTGCGTTTGCAAGCAGGCACAGTGCAGGTGCACTGACTCAGCGGGCAAGCTCATTATGTGGGCATCTGGGGACAGGGAGGGAAATTGATTCAGAGGTGGGAGACATGGGGGCGCAGATTAAGACCAAAAACCACAAACAGGAATGAAGGGCAAGAAAGTCCAGCAGGCCCCACCATCACCTCCACAGCACTGGGCTCTTGGGCCTGGGTGACCATTTGCAGACCTGGGGGCAGAAGTCACACTGTGACCCCGAGGGGACACATGGAAGTCAAGTTCGGCTTCTGATGCCTTCCAGCCGTGCCCATCCTGCCGATGCACAGCGCCTGGGGGATGTGTGTTTTGTAGTTCTGCTGGGACCATGATTTCCTTGGGGGGCTGAGGCCAGCTGCTGACCACTGCATGCGACCATGTGTGCACTCTCCTTTGCAGGGGGCTCAAGGGGCTGTGTGTCCTCCGGACCGCTCCTGGTCAAGGACCCCAAGCCAGGGGCCTGGACTCCGTCAGGCTTTGCGACCTCAGCTCCGGCTTGTCGCTGTCCGTGTGGCTGGGAGGTCCTCTCTCCTTTGCCTTGGGCGTTGTGGCAGTCCTCCCCCAGGGATGACCTGCTCCCATGCAGTCAGCGGTGAAGCTCTTGAACTCAGGACTGTGAATGTCCAGGGGCCGGGGTGACCCAGGGGGTGGGGGAGGGACTTCTGGGCCTAGAGGCTGTGTCCAGTACTTGCTGGGATACAGAGTGGCACCCAGCCCCTGTCCCCAGGCGCCGCAGCCTGCAGTCATGCGTGTCTCAGATGGGGACGAAGTGTCTGGGGACACAGTCTGCCCCTGTCCACTGCGAGTCCTCCCAGGATCTGAGGTTGCCAGGACCAACAGATCAACCCAGAGGTGCTGGGTGCTGCAGCAGAGGCATCAGCTGAGCCCCCTGCACTGGGGGTGGAGGTGTGGGCGCAGTGGGCGCAGGGCCGAGGCTGGCGTCTGCCTCTGCCCGATTCCCTGCTTCTCCGTGTGCCTGGGGGTCGCGCAGTGCGGCCTCAGACTTACATCTTACGCAATGCCCTTCATGGCCGTTTCAACAGCGCCTGGCAAAACGCGCAAGATTCCCAAGGTTTCCGTTGGTTGCGCAGTCGTTGGGTGTGGCGATCTGAGCTGAGCTACAGCCTCAGCAGGATGAGGGCAGCGAGGACGCAGGGAGGCCCCTGGAAACGTGGCGGCCGTGGCATTGAGCCGGGCTTGCCCGTCTGCAGACCTGTGACACTGGCCGGATGTGTCCGATGGTGACCATGGCTGGAGAGGGTCGCCTTAGGGATTTTCTTGCTAAGCAGGTAACCCATTTCTTTCGAACATCCCAGAAAAAAAAAAAGGAGCTAAGAACAGAGAGTTTACACGCAGCTGTGACAGACTTGTTTGCCACGTGCAGGCGTGGCGTGGGGGTCGCACAGCGCAGACCCCCGGGGGAGGGGGAACCAGACGTCAAGCTTATTTCATTCTAGAGTGCCTGGCATCAACCCGGATGTTGGGCACGGCAGGGGTCTGAGTGAGAGAGGGTAGTGGGTCCTGGCGCTTGCTGACCAGGTGGGGCTGCAGCAGCCCAGTCAAGGCTTACTCAGCGGCACAGCCACTTCAGACTCAGTGAGCTTTGCGAGAAAACCCCCAGCACCGTTCTTAAAGTGTGGCAGGCTATGGTACTGACAGACGAGGAAGCAAAAAAAAAACCCAAAATACAAAGGATTAACTTGTTTAGATAACCACAATGATGGAGAGGACAGAGATCTCCCACCTGCTGATTTACCCCACAGTATCTGTGACACCTGGGCTGGTCCTGGCTCTGAAGCCAGGAGTCCAATGCGTTCCTGGTCTGTGACATCTGGGCTGGTCCTGGCTCTGAAGCCAGGAGCCAAATGCGTTCCTGGTCTGTGACATGTGGGGCTGGTCCTGGCTCTGAAGCCAGGAGCCAAATGCGTTCCTGGTCTCCCACAGCTGTGGTAAGAACCCAAGCGTTTGGGTTATTACTTGCTGCCTCCCAGGCACATTGGCAGGAAGCTGGATTGGAAGAGGTGGTGACACTCGATCCTGGGGGCCTTTCTAGGGGAGGTGGGTGTCCCAAGCTGTGGCTGAACCCTGGGGTCGCAAAGCCAGACGGTGTTGTGATGGGAGGGACGTCTGGGCCTGGTTCTGGGTGTGCATTGGCTGTGGATGGCACCCGCTGGTTGGGACACTGTCGCGACACCTGTCTTTTGATGGTATGTGGCATATACATTGTCATAACCAGGGGTGCCGCTGGCTTCTGCGGGGTCCTCGTGCTGAGCGGAGTCTAGAGTGTGAACAGTTGGAAGTGAGTTCAGTCAGCGCATGGTTTGCTCTTAGAGGTCTTGTGAACAGTGACACGAATGCTCGGGCAGCGATGCAGAGGAAAGGGGGTGTTGGGCATCGCCGACTTACAGGACCCGAAGGGCGTTTTCCTGTCAGAAAGGGAGAGCAGTAGGAGGGCTCCCCTCGGCCGTGCGTGCACAGCTTGCACTAACAGGTGGGAGACTGTGGGGTTGTGAGCATCGATGAGGTTTGTGTGAGGGGAAAGAAGCCGGGGCTCTTTGGAAGGCAGGTGACAGTGGAGATGAGGATGTGCCCCTTCTGCTGGCCTGCCCCACGTGCCCCTGCTCCCCCAGCAGCTGCCGTGAAGCCAGGCTGGAGCCGAGAGCCAGGATCCCCACCTGGGTCTCGAGACACAGGCAGGCAGCGGGGTGGGAAGTGCAGGAGCGGCTTCCGTGTGGTGCCCTCACCGCTGTGCCACACTGCCACTCTCACGTGTTTTTTTTTTTCATCGCATCTATATATTTTTAAATCTTCTCCCCCACACATTTTTAAATACTGCTCGTTCCACCATCCAACTGTGTTTCCAGCTTTGAATCTTTGTTTTTTTCAGAGGCTGAAAGCAGCAGCGCTGTTAACACAACAGGGAAGAACATCTCCTGGGCCTTGGTGGGGGAGAGGCTAGAACCAAATGCAAAACTGCACAGCAAAACTTCTATTAAAAGTAGCAGGGCTAGGGTGACACATTTTTAGACTTTTTTTTTTTTGCAAATGTTCCCTTTTCACGCTAAACTTCAGCTGGGGGTTCACTTGACAAAGCAACACTCGTCTTTGTTTTGAACATGCTGGTGGGGCCACAGGCGACTTCCCCATTGTGTGGCTTAACCTCGGGCAACTCCGGCCCCTGGAGTCCAGAGAAGGACTTGGCACGGTGCTGTGAGGCGGAGGAGGCCTGGCCTGGCCTCGGGCTCCGACTCAGCTCGGCCAGCTTGCTGGACCCTCCTCCCTGGGCCTTTTCACATGGGACCGGATTGGAGTCCCCTTGGGTGTTGAGGCTAAGCTCTGGATGAAGGTCGGAGGAGGTCCACAGTGGGGCATGCGGGGGCAAGGGTGTGCTGGCTGCACTGAGGCACTGGGCGCTGGGCACAGGGATGGCCACGTGTGGGACAGCTTCTCTTTCTCTCCTCAGGCTTGGGCAGTCTTCAAAGGGAAGTTTAAAGAGGGGGACAAGGCCGAGCCGGCCACCTGGAAGACGAGGCTGCGCTGTGCCCTGAACAAGAGCCCGGATTTTGAGGAAGTGACCGACCGATCCCAGTTGGACATCTCCGAGCCATACAAGGTTTACCGAATTGTCCCCGAGGAGGAGCAAAAATGTATGTTTCTGGCGTGGATCACCAGCCTCTGGTGTGGCCCACCAACCCCGGGAGGTTGCCAGGGCAGATGTCGCTGTCTGTTGGGACAGGGGCACATGGTTCTGAGTCCTGTCCCCCGTGCAGTGCGTAGCCCAGGGCGTCTCAGGGCAGGGTGGGGCGGGGGCTGCTTGGAGCTCCGTCCAAAGTCCAGTGGCTGCACAGACGCAGACCCCTCTGTGGTTGCTGCCGAGGAACTGGGAAGGCTGGGAGGGATCTGCTGGCTCGGCGTGTTGTTAGAGCATTTGCAGCGTGCTGTTGGAAACTCTGGAATGTGGTATTCCTGACATGTCTTTTGCTCCATAATCCCTGGAAAGCAAGGATAGCAAACATCTGGCATGCCCAGCCCCCATGCCTGTGCTCTGGCCAGACGTCACTCAGCTGTCAGACTGTCAGCCTCAGATCTCATGCCAGGCCCTTCGAGGTGGAGTGCTGGGCACCCGGCCCGTGAGATGCAGTCCCGTCACCCTCTTGGTTTCAGGCACTGGTTTTCTTAGCCGTTTAACATCAGGCATGTCATGGTTTCCTCCCTTGAGGCTTGTCAGCCACCAGTCATGCCTGGGAGAGAGGCAGCGTCTATAGGCTGTGTGTAGATGTCAGGTTTGTGTCATGGAAAATTATGACATAGAACTAGCAAAAGGTAAAGTCGTGACTCAGACACCTCTGTGGTGAGCCTGTGAGAACTGTTAGTGAGGTTACCAACCCAGTGAGTAAGACTGTCAGAAAAGATGGGACACGATGTCCTTGGTCAGCGGGAGGCAGGAAGCTGAGCAAGGCTGGTGCCCGTCTGGCCGTCTGGCCGTCGTCTGGGGCACTCTCATTTCTGCTGAATTGTCTACAGATTCCCACCTTTCTTTGCTGACTGTGAACCCTGCTGGATGCAGTTGGAAGTCCAGTGAGCTAGCTGCCTCTTGCCATGCAGGCATCTCGTACTGGGGTGCCAGGTGCAGTGCTGGCCGCTGTAATTTCTATCCAGTTTCCTGCCAACACACGTGGAAAAAGCAGTGGAGGATGGCTGCAGTCCTTGAGCTCCTGCCGCCCATGTCCAGGATAGAGTTCCTGGCTGTGGCCTGGCCTGCGCTGGCTGCTGCGAGCATTTGGGAAATGAGCCAGTGACAGCAGCTTCTCTCTGTCCCTCCTTTGCTTTCTCTGTCATTTTGAGTAAAATCTTATAAAAATCCAACAAACTGACCTTTTCTTGGAGAATGAATGACCCTCTTAGGGGGGTCATTTTGAGGTCGCTGTACATGGCCAGCCAGTTGTCTTGCTGTCTTGTTTTCCAGTTTTGGTTGTTCTTTCGTCAACATAAACTCAGCTGCCATTTGCATGAGGTCACAGGGGGGTGTCCCCCGGGGCCGCTGCCCCGCCCCAGCCCGCTGCAGAACCAGCCGAGCTCGGCTGGCAGAGGAGCCTGGCTGTTTATAGCCTAACGGTGTCAATGCTGGCTCTCTGGTGGCAGCACAGAGTGTTGTATTTGCATCTTGCCCCCCGCCCCTCATTGCTTCTCAGACTAAGGGTGCGCTCAACCTGCTCCTCCCGTATCAGCAGCTTCCAGGTGCATTCTGGGGAGGGTGAGACGATGGGCGTCCTTTGCTGAGTAAGGCCTGAGGCTGGTCCAGAATGCCCAGGCAGTGGCTGGCTCAGCCTGGTGCCAGGGGGGCAGCATGGGCCTTCAGGGCGCAGTGCATGTGTGTCCAGATACAGGCATGTATCCATGGCGTGGTACATTTGTGCCCAAAGGCAGGTGTGCCTATGTACATATCTCTGAAAAGAGGCTTCCTGCCTGCCAACTGGCTTAAAAAAAAGTCCCAACCTGCCATCATATCTTGCCAGAAATCTGAGTGTCTGCAAGGTCCCCTGGCTTGTGGAGTGGGGTATGTCTGCGCCAGGGTCGTCTGGCCCCTCGCAGACACAGGAAGGGCCTGAGTGTGGTCTTCTTCACCTCCCCCCACTTCTCTCTTTTGACTCTGCTGATCAGATGACCTCAAGCATGGGAAAAAGGCATCTTTTTGCCTTCCCAAGCTGACGAGGACACTCACGAGCTCTGGTTTCCTGAAATGGAGCAGTGACACCAAGCCCTGGTCGGAGGCTCCACGCCACACGTCATGGTGTCTGTGCGGTTTTCCATAGGCAAACTCGGCGCGGCTCCTCCTGGATGTGTGGGCGAGGTCACGGAGATGGAATGCAGCCGCTCGGACATCGCTGAGCTCATCAAGGAGGTAGGAGGGAGCAGCTGAGCCCCAGAGAGGAGCCCCGTGTGCCCCAGAGAGGAGCCCGTGTGCCCCAGAGAGGAACGGTGCTGTCCCTGCCATGTGACCCCGTCTGGACCCCTGGGCTCCCCCGGAAGTGCTGCCTCTACCTGGCTTTTTGTCCATTAGCATTGTCCTGTTTTCTGCCAGCTCGGTTGACGCAGGGCAGTCATCCGGTGGCCATACCAAGGCCACATGAGAAGCAGATTTCAGAGGAGTTTCCTAATCATATCATCCACCTCTTTAAGGAGCGGGTCAGAGACGGAAATCCAGATGTGCTGCGCAAAGCGAGGTTCTCGCGGCGTGGCAGGGTTTGCCCTGGGCTGCCGACTGCTTGGCGGCGTCCCGGAACGCGGTGGCATCTGGAAGGCGTTGGGCAGGTGGTGGCCTGGCACACTCAGTTTGCAGCATGAAGGGCCACTCGGAAGGACAATAGGCTTGGTCAGGAACTTCAGACAGTTCATGGAGAATGGAACAAAAAGGATTCATTTGGGTACAAAAACATACATTTGCATATATGTTTAAATAACTGGTATTGTCTGCATGCTGTTGAAGACCCCTCACTGCAGGAGTGCCCGGGAGGCTGGGACTGCAGCCCTGTGGTCTGACAGCTCAGCCTGGCGCGCTTGGAGTCTGGGGTCAGAGGTGACGCTGTTTGAAACGCTGAGTCTCACGCAGCCCCTCTCTCCTGCCCACTCTAAGCAGCCAACTGTGGAGGACTACATGGGCATGATCAAGAGGAGCCCTTCGCCCCCAGAGGCCTGCAGGAGCCAGCTGCTCCCAGACTGGTGGGCACAGCAGCCTAGCGCAGGTGAGGCCACAGCCCTGGCTCCCCGCCAGGCAGAGCTGGGACGGTGGGGGTGGGCAGCGCGCCGATCTGGGTCAGACAGGAGGTAGCCGAGCTCAGAGACGTGAAAATACGCAGCTGTGGTTTCCCACCAGCAGGGCAGAGCCCTGGTACCCCAGCCCCGGGGGGCAGGTACAGCACCCCTGCCCGCCCTGCACAGGCCCCTGGGGGACAGACGTCTAGATCGCTTCTGCACAGCTACGCCCCTCCCTGGGCTTGGCACCTGCTTCCGCACACCAAGCATCCAGTTGGAGAGCTCGGGCCGGGAACAGGAAGGGTGTATGCCTGGGATTTGCTGGGAAGTTGCAGAGTGTATCCAAGCCTCGGTTTGCTCGTCTGTGAGAGGAGGACTCTGGGCTCTGCACTCCGGGGTCATGAGGGTTGAAGGAGCCGTCTGCCCTCTGAGATCTGCCCTCCCAGACCCCTCTTGGGCTCCAACTGCTGAGTCTCCCTGGACTTGCCATTCGTCCATTTATCTCCTCTATGGGAAACTGAGCCCTGGCAGCTGTCCAGCAGGCCCGAGAAGGCCCCAGGCTGAGATGGCGGTGTCCGGGACGGCCCCTGATTGTGGGAGGGTGTGCCATCCAGTGGAATTTTGGGATCAGATCCTTGGGGTGGAAGGAAATGTGGCCCCTTGGGGGTGACACTCACACGGGCAGAGAGGAAGTCCCCTTCGCCACACTCGACAGGGGTCTGGCTTCTGCGTTCAGACAACAGCTTAGCGGCCCTGGGAGGAAAGACGCTGAGTGGAGGGGCCTCCAGAGCCCGCTGTGTGTGGCCCCCTCAGAGCCGGGGCAGGGAGCGCTGGGCCAGTTCTGGCTCGCGGCTCCTGGCTCACCGCTACACTCGGTTTTCTGTGTCTCCCGCAGGCCTGCCGTTGGTGACTAGCTATGCCGCCTATGACACACACCACTCAGGTACAGGTGCAGGGACGCGTGGGGCTGATGCTTGATGGTTGATGTTGGGGGAGGGGTATCTTGGGGCTCTTTGGATGCGCCTGGTCTGGGGTGGCAGGTCTCTTGCCGTGTGGTTGGAGGGCGGGCACACATCGGCCTCTCTGAGCCTGTCCTTGGACCACAGAGTTCCCGGCCCTGCCCCTGGAGGGCCCTCAGGTTCCCGCCTGTAGACTGGGAACCACAGCAGTGCCTGCCTCTTGGGAGCCTGTGAGGAGTCTGTGGGGAGTGCTTGAGGTCCCCGAGTGCCATCCCCATACCTCTACTTCCTCCTGATGCTCAGGTTCCTGACGTAGCACAGAGCCAGGTGACACATGTTGAACACCTGGGGCTCTGGGCTGACACCAGCTCTGAGGGACTTGCCAATCCTTCCGTGTCCCCCATTTCACAGGCTCAGGGTCCCCCAGTCGTCGTCTCCCAGGCTGAGTGGTCTTTGTGCCATCCCAGCAGCCCTCTGGTTATGCACAGGACCCTGGCTGTGGGACTTCCGCCAGCGGCACTGGGTCAAGCTCAAGGGCAGCCCTGCTGGTGAGAGAGGTCAGGCTGTCTCCTGTCCTCTGCCGGGTTCCTAGAGAGGGAATGCCCAAGTCAGCTGGCTAGGCTGGGGAAGAGGGTGGAGGAGGAAGGAGGGCGCTCGTGACTGGCTATAGACGGGGGTGTTCTGTAGAGAAGGCAGGTGCTGGATGAGGCGAGGGCTTTACAAAAGCAAAGATGCTGTGTTCCTGGAGCACTTGGCTGCTTTGTGGCAGCCTTGGGGTGCAGGGATCACAGATGGGGCTCTGGCTGGAGGTTTTGTCTCTCACCTAAGGGCATGTAGGCAGGTGGCCATCTACACCCTTGCTGGCCATACGCCTGCAGCCACCTGCTCACGAGAGGCCCAGGTCACAGGACTGGACCTCTGACCTGGTTAGCACAGGGCTGCGGCCCCTGGAGTCTGCTGACGGGGCATTCTGGGGGCAGCAGGGCTGTCAGGGGAGGGGAAGTTTACTCAGCCAGGCTGGGGTTGTCAGCACATGGTCTGTAGGGCTGCGTGCAAAGAGAACCCTGAATGCTCTAGAAGCTCAGTTCACAAGCATTGTTTGTAGAAGGTTAGTGTCAGTCCCCTGCAGGGCCAAGGTCAGAGTCAAGCCATGACAGGCAGTAGGTGTTGTGGCATGGGGGTCTAGGCTCTCACGGCCAGGAACATTCTGGGGTAATGGCACCTGTGTGCCCATCTGCCCTGCAGATGCGGTTCGGACCTGACATTTCTCGTTTTCTAGAAAAAGCAGAGGTCTGGATTTCCGTGTAAGCTGTCCCCAGTTAGATGATGGCAGGAGATGCAACCAGAGTCCTGTGTGCTGGGGCTGCCAGCTGGTGCCCTGGGCTCTGTGCACTGGGTGGGGTGCCTGTGGGGTTCTGTGCTCGAGGCTGGAACAGGAGCCAGCACCCAGCCCCTCTCCCCCGCCGCTCACTTTAGCAGCCTCAAGGGTGCTTTCACCTGCTCACGTCCCAACCCCCCTACATGGACCCAATGAGCTGATGACTAATCGCCTTGGCCTGTGGAGTACGTGTGCTGAGAGGTCCCACAGCATCAGTGGATGCCCTGCTGCCCAGGGGCTGAGATGCATAATTCTAGGAGTCTCATCTGGATAGAGAACCCATTTTCCTGCACCCCCTTCTGTAGGTGTCCCTTGCCCCTTGTACCCGTGTGAGCTCACGCACTGCTTTCCCCGGGTCACTTGGCAGGGGGTTGACAGAGCCGGAGTCTGTGCTGCTGGCTCCTGGCTGGGCACCCTGTAGCCAGGCTGCTTGACTGGGCTCTGTCTCAGAAGGGCCGACGTGCAGTCCCTGGATGGCCCATGAAGTTCTTCTTGTCTCACTGTCAGGTACAGTGGCCAGTCATTCAGAGTTGTCTTCTGACCTGCCCATGGCTTGAGGTCACTGAGCCCTTTCCGCCTGTGTCTCTGACAGTGGGATCCACTGGTCACAAGGCCATGAGGCCCCAGCACTGAGATAAAAGCCCAGGAAGGACAGGGCCAAGGGCCACAACCACGGGGGGCATGCTGTCTGTTTTGAACAAAGAGTAGGTGTTGTTCCTAGCAAAGGGATGCCGGCAGGGGAGTGGAGGAGGCCTGGTGAGGCTAGGCACCCCCTCATTGTCTTGCTCTGTTTCCCACATATCAGATGGAGGAGTTAGACGGCATCTCTGAGTGTCTCCCCATGTGGTTTCTGGAGTGCTCCTTGTCTTCAGCCTGGCTGACCCTTGGTGGAGTCCAGAGGGAGGGTCTGAGGACCCACGGGGCGGCCTAGTGGCCTAGAGGCTCTAAGACACCCTCAGAGTGGCCCCTGTTGTCACCATCACATTATTCTCAAACCTCTTGCTTGCCAGGACTCAAGTTGTTTTCAGGGGGGGACCCCTTCCCCTTCCTGGAGGAGACGACCCAGTGACACCTGCTTTCAGTGGGCAGTCAGAGGGGGAAACCCCAGGCAGCCCAGGCTGAGTACCTCTCAACAGAAGTGTGGGGCTCGGCGGATTTCTGATTCCAGACTTTTGCATTTGGGGAGTTTGCGTGTCCATAGTGAGGGACCTTAGGCCTGAGACCCCGGGCTGACCACCAGGTTGAGTTCTGTGCTAGGTAGACCTAGAACTGGAGCCCCCTGGGAGCCTTGCGCAGGGCTCTGTGCTTTGCGCCTGAAGTACGTCCCCGCTGTGGGATTTTCTGCATGCAGAGGCATGCTGGGCACCTAGGGTTCCAGATGCCAGAGCGTTTTGGAGTCAATGCTTTTGGGTTCGGCGTGCTCAGCATGCCGTGGCCAGTTGCAGCTGGACGCACCCTGCCCACTCTCCTTGCAGTTTGTCTCCCCCTGAGAGTTTGCTGGCTGCACGCTCTGCAGCTCTGCATTCCGGCCGAGTGTCGCCTTGCACTGGGAACGCTGGGACCAACGGTGGCATTGCACGTAGTGCCGGCACCCTCGCGGTTTTCAGCCTAACTGTGTCCTCTTGCCCGCAGCCTACTCCCAGATGGTGATCAGCTTCTACTACGGGGGCAAGCTCGTGGGTCAGACCACCACCACCTGCCTCGAGGGCTGCCGTCTGTCACTGGGCCAGCCGGGGCTGCCCAACACCAAGCTGTACAGGTCCGAGGGTCTAGAGCTGGTGTGCTTCCCGTCAGCCGACTCCATCCCCAGCGAGCGGCAGCGGCAGGTGACGCGGAAGCTGTTTGGGCACCTGGAGCGCGGGGTGCTGCTGCACAGCAGCCGGCAGGGCGTGTTCGTCAAGCGCCTGTGCCAGGGCCGCGTGTTCTGCAGTGGCAACGCCGTGGTGTGCAAGGGCAGGCCCAACAAGCTGGAGCGCGACGAGGTGGTGCAGGTCTTCGACACCAGCCAGTTCTTCCGAGGTCTGTGTGGGTTCTGCTGGGCCACTCTGAGTCCTGGGATGCCCACCTCCGGGGGAGGGTTGGGGTGGTCACAGGGGTCACCTTCTCACGGGGCAGCCTGGGGATCCTCTCTGCCTTCACTTCCCCACATATCAGGCCGCAGCTTTCTCGTGGCGGTGGGGAGAGCTGAGGAATCTCTCGGCTGTAGTTCTTGCTTGCTCCCAGGGCTGACCCGTGACTCAGGCAGGAGCAGCTCCGAGATGTGGGGTGTCAGGCCACGCTGAGGCCTGGCCCGTCCCCACGGGGACTCACGTGCCTGCTCTCAGATGTGCTGCCTTAGTCCCGCAGGGCCCGAGCAGCCCAGAGGAGCACCCCTCTGCTGGGGTCAGGATGGGGGTGTTAGCTCAGGTGCTTCAGCACCCAGGGACCCACCTACCTGGTGGAGGGGAGGGAGGGGGAGGATGGGAGCAGCCTGGAAGGGTTCCCAGACCTGTGAGGGCCTCTGGTTCTGGGGTGCTGTGGGACCTGCGAGCCTGCACCTCTCACCAGCTGCCTTTGAATGATGCAGAGACATGGGGGGGGGGGAATGCTGCGATGCCTCAGGAGGGAGTCAGCCCCAGGAACGGTCTTCATATGTGGTTGCTAAGGAGCCCAGCAGCCCACGGTCATGGCCAAACCCACAGCTGCTCAACTGGGCTGGGCTGCAGGGCTCGCTCGCTCAATGGGGTCCTGACTTGTGGGGCGCCCCTGCTCGCACCCCCAATGCCTGCCCTGTTTCCTTACAGAGCTGCAGCAGTTCTACCACAGCCAGAGCCGGCTCCCCGACAGCAGGGTGGTGCTGTGCTTTGGGGAGGAGTTCCCGGATACCGCCCCGCTGCGCTCAAAGCTCATCCTGGTGCAGGTGAGAGCTGCAGCGCCCACGTGAGCCTCGTTTCCTGGGCTGCCTGGGGGTGGAGCAGCAGCAGCGGGCACTGGGGAGTCTCATTTTGGTACGGGTGTAGGGGAGGGCGTGGATTCCTGCCATCTCTGACCCATCATTTCCATTCGTCTGTACATGTCTTTCTTCTCTGGCTTGTTATTGTTTTCAACAAAAATGTCTTCTTCAGGAAGGTACCACCTGTCCCCTCGCCACCAGGTCTGAGTGACGGACGAGGGCATGGAAGCCCGCCCTTAGCTGTAGCTGAGGCAGGGATGTGCTAGCAGTGCAGTTCTGGGACTGGCAAGGAGACAGCAGACCTTGCAATCTTGGTAGCGATATTGCCAGCCCTCTGTGTGCTCTGCCTGTTCTGGGGCCATTCACTGGAGACCACAGGCGAAGGGGCTGGTGTAATGGCTCGGGACTGGGGTGGCCAGAGGATCTGGCCCGGTTCCAGGACAGCTGCCACCTCCGCCTCTGACCTGCACGCGGTCCCTCTAGGTCGAGCAGCTCTACGTGCGGCAGCTGATGGAGGAAGCTGGGAAGAGCTGCGGTGCCAGCCCCATGATGCACGCCTCCGAGGATCCCCAGCCCGACCAGACCTTCCGAGTGTTTCCAGAAATCTGCACCTCACATCAGAGAGCCTATTTCAGAGAAAACCAGCAGATCACCGTCTAAGTGCCTGCTGGGGCCCCTGCCCCCTCGCCAGCTGTGCCCCCTCGCCAGCTGTGCCCCTGTGGCGTCCTCAGGATGCCTAGCCTGCAGCCTGCTCCTGCCCAGAGCCCGGGGTCGCAGCTTCCATCCTGTGCGTCTGCTGTGTGCCTGGCTGCTGAGGTTCTTCGTGGTTTGGGAGTCTCCTGTGAGGCTGGCGTCTCCCACATTCCCGCAGACTGCCGCTCCGGGAAAGCGGACTGGTCAGAAGCAGCCGCTGGGCTCTGCCTTTGTGAGGTTTGCAGATTGGCGATTTCATGTGCCCATTCTACGTGGAGTTTCTTTGCTATGGTTAAGTGCTCCTGTCAAGGCTGAACAGTGAGCTACAACCCCCTCCCACCCCCAGTGCGTGTCTGGCCTGGCGGGAAGCGCATCCTCCGAGCCGCTGCCCTGTCCAGGCAGTCCTGCCTGCCTCACTGCCTCGGGAGCCTTCATTCCTGAGAAGTTCAGGGCTAACTTCACTGTTTTTACTTTTGTAATTAAGTTCCTCCCTCTGATTCCCTGAAACGGCTTTGAGCTGCTGGGAAGTCGCCTTCCTTCCCCGGTCCTGATGCAGGCAGCTCAGATGGTTGTGGAGAATGGGCAGGGCCACCCAGCATGCCTGATGGACCGCGTGGGCTGCTGAGAGTGCCCGTGGGGCCTTCCAGTTTGTGGTGCCCTTCCCTTGCTGGGGGCCCATGTTGTGGGGTGTACTGAATGCCACCACCCTGGCCCCACCGTGGCAGAGACAGAGCCAGCCTGCCATGCTCCTGGAGGTTCAAGGTGGCTCCCACAACATGCTAGAAACCATTTTAGGAGAAGCCTCTGGCTGGAGTTTCAAACTTTTCTGCCTTTTCCCACAAACCTTTTTGAAGTACCGGCATGGTGCAGGATTACAGAGCGTCCCGGTCCAGCCCTTGGAAAGTCTCACCCCATTTGCCAGCGAGTGGGTGTGTTTCCTGGTCCGCCACGTGTCCAGGGGCTCCCATCGCCATACGGAACCCAGGAGGCGGCGCCGGGGAGAGCGCCCAGCCCATGGCAGAGGCTGGCCTCGCCCACCTCCCGGCCTCCTCCCTGCAACCAGTGCTGTCCTGCAGCTACCCGACTCCACAGGAGAGTACCTGGACACTTCTTTCAAAATTCCACAGAATTCTGTGTCTAGTGCCTCAGGCTCCAGGACTGGCCAACACTGGCCCTGCCACATATGCTTGGTGCCTCTGCCGGCCGTGTTTTGCCAGGAGACGAGCTCTGTGGGGGACTCTTGGTTTGACTGAGCCACCTCCACAGCGGGTGTAGACCCCAGGCAGTTTTGGGGGCGTCAGCAGGGTCCCTATGCCATCTTCCCACTCTGGGCTGGCTCAGAAGATCCTTCTTCTCTGTCTCCTTTGTCAGCTGACCCCAGGTTCCCCAACCTCTGACCTTTTCACCTCCCAGTGAAAAGACGGGGAGAAGGCTTCAGTGCTGAGCCTCATTGCGGTGGAGGGGTGTGCTCAGGTTGGGGTCAGGAGCAGCTGGCCCAGAGGCCTCTGGCTTCTGAGGGTGCCTCACTCGACCCAGCACTTGTCCAGCGAAGGTGGACATGGGCTCCTCGTGCTTGTCAGGGTCACCGTGTTCGGAGAACTTTGAAGCACACGTCTCCACCGTGCCGTGTCGGTATTTATTTCTGTGTCCATTTAAGAAGAATCTTGATTTATTTCATCCTTTATTAAAATAAAATGTTCTTTTGTAAAGCCGATGTGTTCACGCTGTTTTTGGTCTCTGTCAAATGGCTGATCTATTGAGCGCAGGAGTCTCAGGAGATTAAGTAGCCGTGTGCAGTGCACACAGCGTTCTGTCGCAAACAGCGAGACCTCAGCTGGCGGGGTTCTAGAGTGAGCTGCAGGGAGCCTCGTGTTGAGCCTGGCAGGGTGGGCAGCATCTGGGCCCTGGATGCAGCTCCTGGCCGCAGGCTGACGGGACCCGCAGAGGATCAAGCCCTTTGGTTCATGGTGTTTGGAGACATTTTAAGCAGCGAGAGTTCCGCAGGGTATCCCTGAGTGCTTGGCGCCGAGTCCCTGACTTTGTGGAATCCCTGCATGGTGAGAGCCCTTGCTTTGCCTTTGAGTGTCCCCTGCCCCATGAGTGTGAGTGTGTCCACAGGTCTGCCAGGCTGCAGGCGGTCAGGGTCGTCCTGCCGTCCCCATGTGCTGTGGGGCACTGGTCCCTGCACCAGGAAGCAGCTGCGGGTGGTGGAAGGGAATTCCTCGGCTGAGTGATTCAGGTGCCCAGGCAGAGGGCGTTTGGCAATTCAGTGACGCCAAAGTGTTTGGGAACTCTGCCCCCACCTGCTGCCCGTCTCCTGGATGATGCCCACATGCCATAGAGGGGTGCCAGTTTGGGTCCTGGCTCTTGGCTCCTTCTAGGGGACCCTGGGAAGGAGGCAGGTGTTGGCCCAAGTGCTTGGGCCCTGCATGCACTGGTAGACCCAGGTCAAGTTCCTGGCTTTGTCTTGGCCCAGCCCTGGCTATTTTAAGCATTTGGGGATTGAATCAGCAGATAGGAGAGCCCTGCCTTCCAAATAACAAGTAAATAAATAAAACAGATAACTTAGCAAGGCACAGCCCCTGATGCTTTGCTCTGCTGCCTGTCCCACTTGCCTTATTATTTCTAGTTTTGTACCTCCTGGGCAGCTCTAGCTCAGTGTTCTTCGGGAATAACAGAGCTGCGTCTTCTGTCTCCAGTGCTGAGGTCTGCCTGCACCCCGGGGTGTGGCAGTGACCGAGAGCACGAGGTGCCACGACTGCCCGGCTGGACCCCAGCTCCACCGCCTACAGCTGAGTGAGAAGCCGGGTCATTAGCTCCAGGTGCTGCCTCAGTTGCCCCTCATGGGGACAAGGGGATGAACACATCAAAGCCACTTGGAATGGAGGCTGCTTTTGTGACCCAGGGCTGTTGTGCTTGACAAGCAGGTTCTGGCTGGAGGCTCTGAGGTGATCCAGGCAGCTCCGGAGTCGGGGGCAAGGCCTGGGAGTTCTGAGAAGGGAGGGCCGGGGAGAGCCTCTGCCCCTCAGCTGTTGGCTCAGGCCTCCGGCTCGTGTGTTGTAGCGCATCGTGATGGATGTCGACTTGCCTTGCTTCAGCAGGGCCGGACCCTGTGGCCCTCCGAGCCCGCAGCCTCTGCTGTGGGCGCCCTGGCTGGGGGTCAGCAGGGCCGGACCCTGTGGCCCTCCGAGCCCGCAGCCTCTGCTGTGGGCGCCCTGGCTGGGGGGTCAGCAGCGTGAACTTCACGGGGCCAGGCATGGGGCGTAGTGGCATCTGACATGCGGAGGCTGAGCTGAACCGTTGGGTAGAGAAAAGGAGTTGCAGTGGAGCCTGGGGCCTTCAGGACAGACCCAAGCAGGTGCGAGGATGAGGAGCTGTGCGGGGGTGGGGAGGGAGGGCCTTGTACGCACCAGCCCGGGCTGAGCATCTGTATGAGCGGTACACAATGGAGGGGACCCGCCCCCCAGCAGGACCCCTCTGGGGTCACATACGCAGGTCAAGGGCCTGGCAGGCAGCAGTCAGTTCCTCCTCTTTTTTCTCCGCTCCACAGGCCAGAGGAGTTGGAAAGTAGAAAGTGGACAGTTGAGGCTCCTGGGAGTCCACAGGACAAGCCTGGTGGTGCAGGAGGTGAAGCCCTGGATCGGAATGCCTGACTCCAGTCCTGCCTCCATTTGCCATCTTGCCGTCCTGGGCGGCAGTAGGTGATGGCTCAAGCACTGGGGTCCCCTGTGGGAGATCTGGAGGGAATGCCAGGTTCCTGGCTGCAGGCTGGCATGGGCCCAGCTGTTAGGGGCATCTGGGGAATGAGTCAGAAGCTGAAGATCGTTCTCTCTCCATTTCAAACAAACACAAGCCAAGGAGTAACTTAAATCCTTCAGGATAACACAAGATGGAGGGTGAGAAGGCCCCTCGCTCTTTGAACAGAGCAGCTCTGGGGAGAAAAATCACGGTGCCGCTGGCAGCGCGGCTGTGGTCTGTCCGCTGGCTTCTCCCTTCCGCCCTCCTGCCCCCATCCGCTCACTGCGTCTGACATGAGGCATTGAGCAATCTCAACCAGTCGGAGATCCTGAGCCCAGAAGTAGAGTGACTGTTGCTTTGGGGTCCCTGCACGTTGGCCTGGGGTCCTGGCAAGCAGACGGCAAGGTTTGCAGGAAGCAGATGGTCCAGCTACTCTATACTCCACAGCAGTTCAACTGCTAGGCTGGCTGGCTGTTGCATCACTGGCCAGACAGGGCTGCAGGACAGAAGGGCCCACCCTGGGGTCCTCTCTCCGGGAGACAGCAGTGTGGGCAGCAGCTGGCCCAGCCCGAGCAGGGCCTCTATCCACACCCAGTGCGGCCTCACCAGTTGGGGCTTGTTTCCTCTTGGAGATGCCCCCCGCAGCTGCAGCTCAGGGGTGCCCAGTGCAGGGTCAGCAGCAGGACAGTCAGGAGGACCACCTCTGGCCTGAACCTTGGGGCTCAGCCGCAGAGGTTGACGGTCGAGAGGGATGATGGGTGTTTCAAGCCCCACGGGCGCTTTCACACTGCCTCTCACACTGTGAGCCTGGACCAGCAGCCCCTCCGTGCCTGTGGCCCGTGGGGAGACAGCCCGGTGGATGTGCCGCTGAGGCAGCTGAGTTCCCAAGGCTTCCCTCCTGAGGCAGCTCAGTGATGCTGCTGATACATCTGCCACGCATAAACAGGCCTTTAGACACACTGGTTCACCCCTTCCTGCCAGCCCCAGTGTGGCCGCCGTCCCATCTTCCCCGCCCTGCACACTGTCAACAGCCACCAGCAGAATCCCAGAGGAGGGCGAGGAGCGGCCCAGAGCCGCACGGCCAGCTTTCTCCAAGACCCCCCATGTCGCTGTGTCCCGGCTCTGCCGAGGGCGGTCGACCCTACGGCCTCTTGGTCTCTGCTTGCTCCTCACCCCCAGGGAGTGGCAAGGGGGGGGCAGCCCACCTGCTGCCCTCCAATTTCTGCCCATCTCTCTGGTCCCTCAGACCAAGCGTCAGCAGATCTGCCTGCAGACAAGTCCGGCCACTGTCCTGTGGCGACAGAGTTGAGCAATCGCAATGCAGGCTGCAGCCCCCAAGCCTGAAGTGTTTCCATTCTGGCTCTCAGAGGTGCTGCCTGAGGCCCACCCCACAGCCCACCCAGCCTGGCCCCTTCGCAAATCTCCTGGGAGGATCTCTCGAGCTGCCCACGGGAGTCCGCCAAGGCTCACACATGACACCCTGTGAGGTCGGTACTCTTGGCCTCACCACTTTCCAGACAGGCAAACTGAGGCACAAAGAGCTTTCCCACGGGATCAACCAATACTTTCTGTCATTGGAAAGAGGGTCTGGGAGCCGCCCAGCAGTGCGTGGCTGACCAGGGACAGAAAGGAGAGAACAGAGCCCACATAACCACCAGGGAGGGCGCCATGTCTAGCTGGGAGGGCAGGAAGGCTTTGAGCAGAGCCTTGGCGAGTCAAGAGGCACGCGGGTGGGACGCGCACAGCACGTACATGGGTGCGTGTCCTGGGTGCTGGGGTCAGCCATGCTGGGCCTTTCCTCCCTGGGCGCCGCACTCATGCAGCAGGCCTGGTCGCCAGCATGAAGCTCCCAGGAAGGGTGCCTGTGGGTTCCGTGCCACTTGGGAACCCCGGCTCTGCCTCCTCCCCAGCGGAGTCAGAGTCATGGATGAAGCAGCTCTGACATCCAAGTGCAGATTCCCACACAATGGGCACCGTCACATGCCCGCACGATGGGCACTGTCGGCTCCTTTGAGCCAGTATTTGGGGGTGTGATGCCTGCACCGCTCGGGAAGAACAGGTTTAGTTTGATGAGAAAGCGCCTGGCCGTCTCTCACCGCAGCCTCACCAGCAGTGGACGGGTGCTCCCTTCCCTGAGAAGTTTGCTCTTTTATTGGAAAAGCCAAGGCAGACATGCATACTCAGGGAGGAATATCTTCCGCCTGCTAGTTCATTCTCCAAATTCCTCGAAGAGCCAGGCTGGGCCAGGTCACAGGCAGGAGCCTGGAGCTTCCTCCTGGCCTCTCACCTGGCCGGCAGGGACCCCAGGACTTGAGCTGGCCCCTGCTGCCGCTTAGAGGACACATTAGCAGCAAGCAGGATGCAAAGGAGAGGAGCCAGGACTCGGAACAGGCCTTCTGCTGCCTGCCCCAAAGAGGTTTTGGTATTTCTAGTTTGTTCTGTCTGGATTCCACCAGGTGACGGTGATGCCTGCCTCTGGCCCTGAAGTGGCTGTTTACTTCTTAGGACCGAGGCAAGTTGAGATGGTGAGGGACAACCTGTCTGCCTGTTCACCAGGCTGCAACATGCTGTGAGCCAGGGACTCCGTGGACAGCACCACATTGTCACTGGAGGCGACATCCAGGACGCTGGACTTGGGAGCTGGGACTGGGGCTTGAACCCAGACTGCAGACACCTTCATCCCTCGGCCAGATGTCCACTGAATCACACCTCCCAGCGAGGGTGGACAGGTCAGCTATACCCTGACCCCCACTCGCAACCTTGCTTTCCTCAGATGACACTTAGGTCCTGGACCAGACTCGACACCATGGTCTATGTGAGATCTGAGAGGAGACCACCTCAGATTACAGGGTACCCCTCTTGTGACCCCCCAGGGTCCCGGTTTGAGGGAGGCAGAGGGCCGGAGGAAGTAGAGGCAGGGGCTGGGCTGTCACTCCCCGGCAAGGGGCCACACGCTGAGGCCCGGGGCGCC